TCAACAAAAACTTCTTTGTATATATTATATGGCAAAGCCTTTTTATTTTTAATTAATTAAAACCAGTGATTTTTTTTTAACATATATTATCCGTTCGGTGAAGAATTATAACTCAATAAAATACAAGGTGGTAAATGCTAGATTTATTCCATATTGTCAGTTTTCATATATACATGTATGTTACATACACATAAATACATGTACATATGCACATGTATACATGTAATTTGTATATATATAAATACATATACATATACATGTGCATATGGAATATGTATATATTTTTAGGAGAAAAAGTAGATTTATATCTTAAAGAATTATTTATTTTTAGAACTCTTTAATAGTTATATTAATCATGTTTCTATTTCTCATAGGTTGCTATAAAAATAATAGATAAAACTAAATTAAATGAAGAAAACTTAGCAAAAATCTTTCGTGAAGTTCATATAATGAAGAGGTTACGGCATCCACATATCATAAGACTGTATCAAGTGATGGAAACGGAAAAAATGATATATTTAGTCACAGAATATGCTCCTGGGGGTGAAATATTTGATCATCTTGTTCGAAATGGTAGAATGGCAGAACCAGAAGCACGACGAATTTTTCGTCAAATTGTACTTGCAGTTCGTTATCTACATCAACAGAGAGTGGTTCATCGAGATCTTAAGGTTTAGCTGTATATTACATTAAAATTTAATGTTTTGATTCTAATTATGTTGATACTTTATTGCATTGTTGTAAATATGCATATAATTATACGTTTTCTTAATATTCTTAGGCTGAAAACTTATTACTTGATGCAGACAATAACATAAAACTTGCTGATTTTGGATTTAGTAATGAATATACACCTGGTGTTCCACTTAGTACATGGTGTGGCTCGCCACCATATGCTGCACCTGAGATTTTTGAAGGAAAGCATTATGATGGCCCAAGAGCTGATGTATGGGTATGTTATTATAATAATCATATTTTTATAAAAATCAAATATTTTCATTTTAGAAAACGTCTAGTAAATTTAATTTTATATAAAATTTAATACATATACAATATATGATATTTTGAAATGTTTTAGAGCCTTGGTGTTGTCTTGTATGTATTAGTTTGTGGTGCTCTACCATTTGATGGACCTACAATGCAATTATTACGATCTGTAGTTATCTCAGGAAAATTCAGAATACCATTTTTTATGTCTGCAGGTATGTGCGCGCATATTCTATGCACATGCATGATGTACGCTCGTGCGCGCGTAAATACATAAAATGCTGTGTGTTCATTCGAAATGGCTCTAATCTGTTGACAATCTCCTACAGTAGGCATTGTGTGATGCTGGATAGTGAAAATACACAGTCAAGCATCACGTATTGCCTGTCTCTGTTGAAAATTTCCAGGCGGACTCCCATAGAAATCCATAGGAATTTAAATGAATTCATATAGGATAATAAAAATTCATATAGAACATAATATGTGGAAATCTATATAGCAATCCGCATGGTTTGTGAAAATTTATATTATATATTTTTATATATTATTAACCCTTTGCACTCGAGGGCTCCGGAGCGGAGCCATTAAAAATTTGTCTTCAAACTCGNTATATATATATATATATATATATATATATATATATATAACTAAAATATATATTTACATAATTTTATGTATAACAGTATTTTTCTTTATTTATAGTAAATCATATTAATTGCTATGATTTAAAGAAAAATGAAACCAAAATATAATAATAAATCTTATAATTTAAATTGATACGTGAAATACATTTTTAAAACCAACATTTAATAAACATAAATATCATTAAATTTTGTATTAGTTGTTAGTTTAATGATAAAAATAATAACAGAATTTAAAATTTGTATCAATATATATCTAGTTTGTGTCAATTTGTATCAATATATATTTGTATCAATTTGTATCAATATATATCTAGTTTGCATTTACATTTCTTTTACTTTCATTATACTTTTGTAGACATATTTGCATTTCTTTTAACTCATTATACTTTTGTAGATGCTATTTTAATTGTGGGACTTTTGCACTTATTAATGTTTCACAAGCAATATATTTTTTGCCTTTTGACGTTATCAATAGAATAAGACAAAATAAAGCCATACAGTGTCTTTGTGTTTTCCTCCCAATGTATTTCAAAATTATTCATGTTAACTGACTACTTCATCACTAAACGATAAATATATAATAATTACTTTAACATCGACGTGTGAAAAGATTCAGAGGAAATATGAACATATGATAGTTTTTTACTTATTTTTTATACGCAGATTTTTGCGTACAGGATTATAGCTACAGGATTATAGGATGCCTCGAGCTGCCTGTGAATTAGAATATCGATAAAAAGATTTCTTATTTATTTTATCATTTTCAATAGAAAAGATCAGTTTATGCTATTTTTATCCGGAAAATACTGATTTTTACCACTGACATGAACTTTATCTAAAAAAATTAAAATTTTGCCAACCCTGTTGCTAGGAGATTGTTAACAAATTCGATCCATGTTGAATGAGACTTTGTCTGCAGAGTTCATTCTACTGTGTGTTGTGTACTAATTTGCTGATATTTAATCATAACCTAATATAAATATTTTGGTATCAATTAATTCCTTAATAACACTCGCAAAATATGCAGAATAGTACAGGACTTTCTGGTTTAATTCGACGTGAGTACATATGTTATGTCGTTAATTATCAGACCTTTGATTATATAACTATAGATTGCCAGTTGGTCTTTTTACAACATAAGGCCTTAGGTATTTACGACAAGTGCAGAGCGAATAAGATCAAGGTTTAAAAGAATAATAATCTCATCTACAACTGTTATATTCTATAATCTATTCTTGCTGTATTTCTACTGTCCAATAATCATAGGAGCAGAGTAAAAACAAACCATCGGCTGACTCTTGAATCGCTCTTGCGGTTGCTGAACAGTAGGAGTAAACGTAAGACAGAGTAAGAGCAGACGATGGGATATAACATTTACAGATGAGAATATATATTATTCTTCCGGATCCTAATCTCATTCGCTCTGCACTCGTTATCTATTGTGTTCCAAAATTCACTGACAGCGCTGAAAGTCTATAGTTCATGTTATGAACTAGTATACATAACATATATAGTAGACATGTTATGTATGCTATAAATTTTCAACATTGGCAGTGAATATTGGAACATAGCTATCATAAGCACCCCTTATGTCCACAATACTAGATCTTGGATAGAATTTTTGGCTGGATATAAAAGTCATTAGAAATTATTGGAAATTCTTAATATCTTTCAATTATTTACCAACATAAATACTACTAAAGGTGCTTACAAGAATGAATGCAGAGCAAGTGAGATTCAAAAGAATAATATATATTCCCATCTATAATTGTCTATGGCTGCTATTCATAATCGGATCTTATATATATCATTTTAAGTTTTCAGATATTTCATTTTCAGATACTTTACGGCCAAATTCATTGGCTATGAAACGTCTGAAGATGAACTTAAGATGATCTTAAATATAAAGTCTGACTATGAATATCAGCCTATAAGGTTATACGGTTATGAAGTAGTAGGTTATTAAGTAGCAAGAGCACAACAGGAGCAGACCATGAAATAGTTATAGATGAAAGTATATACTATTTTTTCGGATCTTGATTTCATTCGCTCTGCACTCGTTATCGTAAGCATCCTAAGGCTGATATCCATAGTCGAATTTTATATTTAAGATCGTCTTAAATTTATTTTGAAATGTTTCGTAGCCAATGAAATGAGCCATGCAGCATCTGAAGATAAACATAAGACTGTCTTATATATAACGTCCGACTATGAATACAGGTCTAAATTCGAGATCTATCATCGTGGATACGAGGCTTAATGAATATGAAAAGTGCCCTCATCGTCCAAGTAACAATTTTCCGAACTTAAATGACATATTGTGAACTCATTTATAAGGAATAATTCACACCTTAACAAAAAAGCAGAAACCAATCAGAACTCGCACTGATAGTAAGCTAGATAAAATAGTAGATAAAGCAGAAACTGTCGACTACCAACGCGAGTTCCGATTGGCTGCTTTTTTGTTAAGGTGTGAATTTTCCCTAATAGTAAATGTATAGGTTGCATTCGGGAAGATACTATTAGCGTCATAAACGCAAATACTAATACTGTCCGTGGGACCGATAGCGCAAAAGCGATAGCGAGCTCCACGAACGGCATTAGCGTAGCGTTAGCATTTGGTTTGTTCTTTTTAGTTGTACTGCTAAACTAGTGCGATAAATTAGAATGAGACAAAATATATTTTATAAATTTATTGTTACAGTTCAGCAGTGTAGCTAAAAAAAATAGACCAATTACCGCATTGTACTGTCGTTTTATATCTTCTATTCTTCTTCGAGTTAAGTTAAACTTTTCTTTAGATTAGGTAAAATATCACAGTTTAAATTCGTTCAGTTTCAATATACCGAAGCTTTATTTTCACGCAATTATCCATTACGTACAGGAATAATAGTAAAATAATGTATACGATGTACTCGTATTGTACGACATTTATATGCAGGAAGTATGACATACAATGTTCTACAGTTCTGAGTGTTCACAGAGCTTGCAAACGCTAACGCTACCATTACACTACCTCGGAAGGAATAGCGTTTGTAGCGCGTTGTAGTGGTAGTGATGACATACACACTACCACTAGTAACGTCACAATTGTGTTTGTTAGTACTATATTCTAGTTCCACGAAACAGCCTTTTGCGCTAAATAGCGCTAATTGCGTCTCCCCGAACGCACCTATAATATTTGAAATTGTTTGTGCCTTTTATCGTAGAATTATTATAGATATATGTTTAAAAAAAATTACTTTTGTCTTTGATAATTGTAAAGAAAAAGGGTTTTTTTACTGATTTGAAACTTTGAAATAGTCCATATTTTGATTCATAAAATACTCATATGAAAGTAAAAAATCGCCGCTCTCAAATAGGACAAAAGTTATAAAGTTGTAAATATTTTGCGGTCCGCGGCCCACCCGAAGACACTTGACTAATGTGTTCGAACTTCTCGAAAGCATAATACGAAAGTATCCGCGCTTATTTGGTTGATTTTCTTTTTATACAAATGTTGATATCTAAAAAACTATTGAACCTAACGTATTCAAAAAACTTTTATCATGAAGTTAATTTTTTTCTATATTGTCAAACACCATAAAAGTTAACTTTTCTGTGTGAGCTTTACTTTCTGAGATCACCAAAATTATGGTTTATTTTGAGCTGGAAAAAAAGTCAAACATAGATATAATCGATTTTTTAAGCGCATAAATTATATAAAGAGGATTAATAAAAGAACAGAAAACATACTTCTCTTCTCGTTTACATGTGCTTGCAAACATTATTTTTTCTCCGCGGATATAAATTAATATTCTCATCGTCTGATGATTCTGACGAGATTCGTCTCACTACACGTCGATGAAATATCGGTAATACATCATCTATGATCATATAATATGAAACAAAATAATACAAAATACGGCATAATACGAAACCAACCAGAAGATAAATAAACAAATACAATTAGAGAATACGTGTACGATTGATAAATAATAAACCAATGACTAATTATAATAGGCGTATTTACCTTCTAAATCTTGAATTTCTTTTTCTGAAGAAAAATCTGACTGTGATAACATTTTTTGCTTTTCCTCAGCTCACAATAGCGTTTACACTGCTAAGATCAGTTGATCGACTAGAGTCGAAAGACTAGCTCCGAAAGAACAAACCTAACACTTGGAGCGATCATCACTTGTTTTGACATAGCTACGAATCGCTATTCATCTGTTTCGCATGTTGCCAATTGCTTAAAACCGCATATGTTTCGATTTATCGATAAAACCAATATTGTCAGATCGCGACGGAACAGTGTCGTCGACGGATTGCAACGTCGAAACACATATGACGACACCATGCCGTCGATGGACCGCTATGTCGAAACGAGCGCGACGGTATCATGCCGTCGACGGACCGCAAAGTGTTAAAGAATAACAATTTTGGAGTTATGAAATCTATCATGCATCTATTTCAACTATTTTTTTATTACAATCCAACGCCCATGTATTTATTCAAGTAAAGGATACTCAGGAGGACGATATGTATAATCCCATATAGTCCCAGACGTTCCAGAGATGTTTAATATCTCT